TGTAAGCTGGCTTTCAAATATGCAAGCATCAACCCTCTTATTTCTTCTTCTGACCCGCCTTCTGATCTCTAGACACAAACAGAAAATCAAAAATGGAACGTAGAGAGCTGAGAATACTGCAAAAGAAGATGCAAACTGTGAGAACCCAGCAACAGCGGGCCACAGGCCTGGGATCAGCAAAGCCATGAAGCTAGCTGAAGCTAGGGTAAGAAGAGAGGTGGTGGTCAGTGAGCAGTGGTGTGGCTTCATACTGAGAAAAACACTACAGATGTGATGTTTGCTTTGATTGATGGAGACGTATAGAGAAGTTAAGTAGGAGTTGCACTGTGTCTGTGGAGCTAAAGAAAGCGTATGATAGAGTAAGACAGGAGCTGTGGTACTGAATGAGCAAGTCAGGAGTTGCAGAAAAGCATGTAAGTTCCAACATAAATGAAGACAGAAAACTAAACAGCAGTGACGTTTGTAGGGTTACTGAAGTTGGACTAGCTGGTATATAATGATGTGCTACGTGATCGCTAGCTACACAGCTATGCTAGCATAAACACAGTGAAGCTGGAGGATGAACGCCAACTTTTTTCCACTTGATAAAAGTTAACGTGAGGGTTCCCGATGGTTAGAGACAAATGCAGAACAACTGAGATAATCCATCCACAATACGAGGTTAATCATATATACTGCAACAACATGGGAATAGAGCCGCTGCCAGAGAATTCAGCATGAATGAATCAATGGTATGAGTTGAGGAAAGTTTGACTTATCTGACTGTTTTTGTTTCACTTAATGCGCCTTATGGTCCGAAGAATACGGTACACGATAAAAATTCCCCAAATTATATTTATATGCATTATTTACTCAAAGACATAAGTTTCACTGTATAACCAACAGGAGAGCAGTGAGGCTTTGTAGAGGACTGCTACACACTCGTCTCTCAGCCCACAACACAGAGACCAGTGGTAACTGTAAGGATATCCATCTGAAGCCAGATTAGGACCCGTAACAGCGTTGATGGAGCTGATCTGGTCAATTCCACATTTTTCTGTGTCAGGATATGGTACTGTCACCCCACCTGGCAGGTGGACGGTGTGAACACAAGTTGCGGTTTGAAAAGGTTAAAAGCAAAAATATGTTTGGCAGTAGAAGCTCTTCAAATATGAGCGACCCCGACAAACACCAAGCGTGGCTTTTGTAAAGCTTGATTAATAGCAAGTAGAGGCA